TCTTGCTTCTTTCCACGCGTGATGATGCGGCGATCACGATAGTCGATGCGTGTCCGTCACGGTTCCGCAGATGACCAATTGTAAGTAAGCCAGTACTTCTTGCTTCTTTCCACGCGTGATGATGCGGCGATCACGATAGTCGCTGCGTGTCCGTCAGGGTTCCGCGGATGACCAATAGTAAGTAGGCCAGTACTCCTTGGTTCTTTCCACGCGTGATGATGCGGCGATCCCGATAGTCGATGCGTGTCTGTCAGGGTTCCGCGGATGACCAATAGTAAGTAAGCCAGTACTTGCTTCTTTCCACGCGTGATGATGCGGCGATCACGATAGTCGATGCGTGTCCGTCAGTGTTCCGCGGATGACCAATAGTAAGTAAGCCGGTACTTCTTGCTTCTGTCCACGCGTGATGATGCGGCGATCACGATAGTCGATGCGTGTCCGTCAGGGTTCCGCGGATGACCAATAGTAAGTAAGCCAGTACTTCTTGCTTCTTTCCACGCGTGATGATGCGGCGATCACGATAGTCGATGCGTGTCTGTCAGGGTTCTGGGGATGACCAATAGTAGGTATAAGCTAGTACTTCTTGCTTCTTTCCACGCGTGATGATGCGGCGATCACGATAGTCGATGCGTGTACGTCAGGATTCCGCAAATGACCAATAGTAAGTAGGCCAGTACTTCTTGCTTCTTTCCACGCGTGATGATGCGGCGATCACGATAGTCGATGCGTGTCCGTCAGGGTTCCGCAGATGACCAATTGTAAGTAGGCCAGTACTTCTTGCTTCTTTCCACGCGTGATGATGCGGCGATCACGATAGTCGATGCGTGTCCGTCAGGGTTCCGCAAATGACCAATAGTAAGTAGGCCAGTACTTCTTGCTTCTTTCCACGCGTGATGATGCGGCGATCACGATTGTCGATGCGTGTCCGTCAGGGTTCCGCAGATGACCAATTGTAAGTAGGCCAGTACTTCTTGCTTCTTTCCACGCGTGATGATGCGGCGATCACGATAGTCGATGCGTGTCCGTCAGGGTTCCGCGGATGACCAATAGTAAGTAGGCCAATACTTGCTTCTTTCCACGCGTGATGATGCGGCGATCACGATAGTCGCTGCGTGTCCGTCAGGGTTCCGCGGATGACCAATAGTAAGTAGGCCAGTACTTCTTGCTTCTTTCCACGCGTGATGATGCGGCGATCACGATAGTCGATGCGTGTCCGTCAGGGTTCCGCGGATGACCAATAGTAAGTAGGCCAGTACTTCTTGCTTCTTTTCACGCGTGATGATGCGGCGATCGCGATTGTCGATGCGTGTCCGTCAGGGTTCCGCGGATGACCAATAGTAAGTAGGCCAGTACTTCTTGCTTCTTTCCACGCGCGATGATGCGGCGATCACGATAGTCGATGCGTGTCCGTCAGGGTTCCGCGGATGACCAATAGTAAGTAGGCCAATACTTCTTGCTTCCTTCCACGCGTGATGATGCGGTGATCGCGATAGTCGATGCGTGTCCGTCAGGGTTCCGCGGATGACCAATAGTAGGTATAAGCTAGTACTTCTTGCTTCTTTCCACGCGTGATGATGCGGCGATCACGATAGTCGATGCGTGTCCGTCAGGGTTCCGCGGATGACCAATAGTAAGTAGGCCAGTACTTCTTGCTTCTTTCCACGCGTGATGATGCGGCGATCACGATAGTCGATGCGTGTCTGTCAGGGTTCCGCGGATGACCAATAGTAGGCAAGCTAGTACTTCTTGCTTCTTTCCACGCGTGAGATGCGGCGATCACAATAGTCGATGCGTGTCCGTCAGGGTTCCGCGGATGACCAATAGTAAGTAGGCCAGTACTTCTTGCTTCTTTCCACGCGTGTTGATGCGGCGATCACGATAGTCGAATGCGTGTCCGTCAGGGTTCCGCGGATGACCAATAGTAAGTAAGCCGGTACTTCTTGTTTCTTTCCACGCGTGATGATGCGGCGATCAGTATAGTCGATGCGTCTGCGAAACAGATAGACCGCAGTTAGGCCAAGTTGTTGCGTGCCTTTTGCCGCCGCTGCTGTGAGCGGTAACCACTCGGCCACGCACGCGCTCGCGCGCCGACGCGCGTGGCAGTACGGTCAACTAATCCACTTATCCCTATGCGCTCAAGATGCCTTAGAGCAAAATATATTTTTTATTCAATAATACTAATACTTCAGTACAGCTAGTATTGTAGTATAAACGCGGTAAAGGCCATACAATAACATTAGTATAAATAAACATATAAGAACAAACAACGCATTTTCATTAATCGCACATAAACTTGTTGTTCACCTTCCCGCGAAAACTTGAATGTTACCACGTATCTTTACAAAAGTCGGCGCAATTGCACACGGATAACGACAAAGATAGAGATTCCATTTTATCCTGAGATTAAAACAACCGACTGCAGCACTCTACTCGCGTCATACATGACCGACAAAGCTCGTTAATAAGTTGTTTATCACCTGTCGATCGTGTTCATACGTCCCGCAATATCCGTCATGAAAATCTTTGAACACGAACTCCAAGAAGTATTTCTCTGTGTCAAGGAAAAGAGGTCATCGTTGACTATAGCTGCCACTTGTCAGTCACACCGTAGCAGAACTTGTTCCGCGAATGCCCTATCAAGAGAACATAAAGTAACCATACACGAGAGCAGCGTCAGAAACGTGGGACGAAAGGCTTAACGTTGTCGACCCATGTTTTGCTCGTGTGCGCTCCCTGCGGTGGTGAATGGATTTTTTACGGTTCCCTTCTCTTGTGAAATGACTTAGCGTTCCTTTTCTGGCAGTCAGCAGCTCACACGCATTGCAAATTTACGAGAATCGGAGCCCGTATGAATGAAGAAAATGTCGCTGCCGGAGCCGGTTCATTTGGGAAGTGTGAGGTACGGGACTGCACTATTGTCCCGCGGTTGCGGGATATTCAAAAATATAGATTTGTTAATTTAAAACTTGGTAACACGTTTTATATTATGTTTATAATATATATATATAGAATAAATTGTACAAGACTACAAATTTAAAACGTATATTAAGGCCGGATAAATGCGCACGAACAAACCACGTGAACTGGATGTGTAGACAACGAGGCCGGGGCAAAGAGAACCAGAGGGGGCGCCTTTTTTCGATGTGGCCTCCCTTCTCCGGCATTCTGACGTAGAGCTACGGCCTCAGCTTCTAGGAGGTGTTATTCAGTGTCTCTCCTCGGCGGCGGGGAGAGAGGGAGAGTGTGACGCGTGTTGACGTCACCGCTTCGCACCAATATGAGAGTCGTACATCTGGCGCGGAGCCAGAGACGAGCAGGCGCCGCGCCGCTTTGGAATGCGGCTCAGCTCGGTTCCCGCTTCGGCGATGGATCTGGTTCTTTCAGAAAGTGATAACGGGGGTGAAAAAATATTGAAAACGGATCATAAACGATTCGAAAAACGTCATTGAACAATAAAATGGTGTAATAAGCGACAGGAAAATGGTGATAAACGAATAGCAAGGGATCCTAAACGAATGAAAATGGGTAAAAAGGGGGTGAGAAAGAACCAATGCTAACGCATGTCCATGGTATGCTTCCCAATAATCGCCGAACAATTCGTGAAGCAATTGTGTAATCATTTGATAACTATATTAAGCAGACACCACAAGAGTAATCTGACTGCTCTTATAAGTAATAAAATAATTTGTAATCCTAGGTTTTCGTAGTTCCAACTACTTAGTCCCCAAAATATGAGCTAAACAAGTTTTTTTTTGTCTGTATTTTATCAGGCTATAAGGTTTTCGAACAGCAAAGTATAAAAAGATTGTTATTGAGCTGTACGGAAGAAGGTCCGACCCCTTACCTGGACAGTCTACATGGTAGCTCGTGCCTTAGGCCAAAACTGTGAAGTCTGTATTAAAAACAAATTCTGTTTTAATTCATAGCAATAAAACCCAAGACTCAAAAGCACAGAAGGGGACGAACACAACACAACACGTTGTGTTGTGTTCGTCCCCTTCTGTGTTCCTTAGTCTCGGGTTTTATTATCATGAATCATCTCCAGCTCGCTTGTTTTTTAAGTATTACTTCAGTTTTAATAGTATGGTTCATGCACCATATCCGTCTATAGTATCTGTTCAAGTGGTCCACCCCTTTAGATGATAAAAATAATAATTAGTTGCGGCTCAAACCGCTGGGTAAAAAAAACAAAACAAAAAAACAAACAAAAAAAAACACGTTAATGTCAAAGCTACAGCATGACAAAAATTGGGCTCTTTGCGACATGCAAAAAAGGCCGTTGGCGTTACGTAAGAATTGAGAACAGGTGTATTGTGTAACCCCGTGATTTCATACTACAAATGAACGACAGGAAAAGCACGCTTCCTAACAGAAACAAGAATATGAATACGCGTTTTGTTCTTAATATTTCAAGCTACGCCTTCTTTTTTCGATGCTGCAAGTGATAAGGACATGAACCTTCTGAAGTAATCGGAAAATTAACGGCTACTTTTTCAAGCAACGGTTTATCCCTTTTCTTCTTCAGTAATCGAGTATTCTAATTAAATGCTCTGAAAGCAAAGTTAATAATAATAATAGTAATCGATTAACTTTTGGGTAACACGGACAAGACTAATAGAAAAAGTTAGAAGCTCCACCTTCAGCATGAATTTGTTGTCTTCCGCCGGGCATTGGCTACACGTGCAATTAGGTTTTATGAAAGGCAGAAAGCTCGCACTCAATACGAAACATCAACTGGGATCTTAACCTTTCACCTACTGTAGTAACCAGTCATTTCGGTGCAGGTATACTTTCTTTTTTTATCGTAAGGTAGGCTCACGTGACACGCGGCATGTTTCATTCATAGCTTTAGTTCAGATTATTCTGCTTTTGGCTGACCACGCAGCAAAATAAGCAGTTTTTTTTTACTAAAAAGTATCACGCGCTACTTTCAGGATTACGAATCGTTCGTAGTGTGTCTTACTGCATTTTCTTTTCCACTAACTAATCTCTCATTTCAGGTTGCAGACAATTCTCAGACAGGGTCCACTGAAGGCACCGCTCAAAGCCCAGACAGTAACGTGAGTGGTCTTATCTAATCGCTTTTATTTTCTGGAGTGGAAGCTCTCAAATGTGCGCTTGGTCAAAATCCCTGCGCCATAAGGAAAATTCATCCATGTACTCTAAGACTCTTAATGTTCGCAAGCGCTTAATTTTCGCAAATTCCGCTGATTGGAACATTCGTGAAATTTAAGGGCATTGGAAAATTTCGGTCCTTAATGGTTTCAATGCAGGCGTCTGGAACTCGCGAAATGTAGTGGCTGCGATGATGTCCTCTGTGACCAATTTGCGAAAAATAAGGGCCGTGAAAATAAAGAATATTTCAGGATCTAGGGGGTTTAGCAATTTGTGGCTATGTTTAGAGGTCAATGAATATTTAAGAAAACGGTTATGTCGTTTCATTATATACGAGTGGGCGTGGTAAATAACTGGAGTGTTCATCGCAGATATGAGCGTTCCTTTAAAAGTTCGGCACCACTGTAGAGTTTAAGAAGCAGATACGGTGGTTTCCGCAAGTGGAACCTGTCGGCTCTTTCCATGAAATTGAACGTTATGACTAATTTCACTCACTTTATTATTTTTCAGCAACCTCTTTATGAAACTGATTCACGGCTTCAGCAATATCAAGATTTTAAGCGGGTAAATTAGACCTCTAGTTCCAACCCCTTTTTTTTTCGTTTATATTTACTAGTTACATTAACCGCAACTAAATGATCGTGGTTAGGAAGACTTTCGTCCAGTTTACTCTTACTCCAAGAACTCAATCATGCTTTTTGTTCTATGTAGGAATATCAGCAGAGAGTGCTCCAGAAATGTATTTATTTTCAGGGCCTCTTATTCAGCAGCCTTGTACTGGTGTACTCCTCCTTAGGAGATGACCCTTTCCGATTGTGCATGATCACGTACCGTCCAAATGAAGGACTGGGTACTGACGGGAAGCTTTACATTTTAACATCAGGTGTCCTTCTTGATAAGTAAGTTCATGTTATATTATCATTAATATATGTTTTTCGCCGAACCACTCTTTAGTTTTCCGGGAGTTAACTGGACTGTTCAACGATTCTAGCGTTGAAAGACTATTCCTCATGCATTCTTTATGTAGTTTACCTTGGCATAAGTAAGAAAAATAAATCCTCCTTTCCGCTACTGCTCTTCCAATCGTCCTCAAGGTGCCCCACTCTTGTCTCAACTTCGACCGCCGGCCGCGACCTTCGGCAATGCTGGGAGAACTTGAAAAGTCGAAAATCGCAGAGGAAGCACCTCGAAAGGAACCATTGTGCTCTCCCCTCCCCCTCACCCAGTGACGTCACTGCACACGTCACTTGGAAGACGGTGTAAAAGTTGAGCGGTACCATAAACTTCAACATGTTTGAGTATAAAAAATAATAATAACAAGCACACGGAGGAAAAAATGGTTATCTGTTATTTGCTTTATGCCTGACAGAGACTAATTCCCGCTATTATTTGGTCAAAATCTGATTATTGTCTCACAGTTCCCTAATTGACTCAGTTAAGAGTCAGAAATGTGGGCTATTACAAGAAAATTAAGAAGCCTAACTTAACAGCAATTAACAACAATTCTGCCTAAATATGTCGGGGGTTCAAACAACAAAATAAGTTATCTGCAGCAGCACCGAATTTCGACATTCGAGTGTCATTGATGTGGGTCATGTGTGCAATCCATAGCTAACTGCTCAAGTTATTTCTCTACCTCAGTGGCGAAATACATTTTTTCCATATCATATACTCCTAGCCGCCCGACGATCAGCAAAACCAAGAACAAGGCCATGAAACAAAGCTTTATCTGCCAGTATAAATTTTATTTGATGGGTCAAGTAACGACACGGCTACGTTAAAGTAATTTTGAATTCAGATAACTGCGTAGCCTTTGCTTCAAAGTAAGACAAAAATGTAGAAACAATCGCAGTAACATGGTAGTAAAGCCTGCAGAAAAGAAATTTGTGAAGGTATTTTGGGCAGGATTTGAGCAGAATATTGATTGACAAACTGGTCGCACCCAATAAGGTCTCGGTCAATTATTTCCGGTAAACTTTACTCCGTAAAGTTTACCGGAAAGTTTACTGTACTCTCGAAAACCGAACAACGAACTGACCCGATTGAAGTTTGTGGCGTTACTTTTATGTTCTTGTCAATACGAATTGAACATCTAGGAAAACGTAACTGCCAAACTCTAGAGTAATATACCTTTAACCATTTTATAATTTGTTGTTAAGACACATTTTAGCCGAGTGGACCCAGCAGTAGAGAAAAATATGTAAGAATTCCAAATTTTAGCAGAGAAGAGTGCAATTATATCCGATCGAGCATTTGTTTATATAAGCAGTACGGACCTTTCATTAGTAATGAAAAAGCATTACTTATCCGACGGAGCGGAGCCAACAAAATCTGTAACCGCAAAAGAAAAAAAAAAAAAGCGCGAAGGAATTGTTTAGTTTTTTATTGGATGAACAAAACGGCTTCTAGATAGCCATTTGGCGCGTTCAGTAACGGCTCCCTCAGCTCCGAACGAAGTAAAGCGCGATCCAAACCAACGCTTCTTTTTGCGCCTGTAGGTCGTGCGGCTGCGGATGTGACGTATTTTCGTGACGTCGCGCCGCTTCTTCGCTCCTTCCGGGCGCGCACGAAGAAGTTGGTTGATTTCAACTTCTTTCTCAAGCCGCACAAAAAAGCGCGGTGACGTAGCAGGCCGCGCCTGTGTCCCGGCCAATCGGTGGAGGGCAAGCTAGTTCCGGCTCCGCGTTTCTCGCCGTCTGGCTGCCCTCTCCTCCCCCCCCCCCCCCCTTTTATTCTCTTCCAACATGACAACGCGATCTCTCTCCCTCTCTCTTTCTCTCGCCGGCCAGTCTGTCGCTGTTGCACTTTGCTTGTGCGCTCGTGCCTGCGTGCGCGCGTGCGCCCCCGCCCGTAGCTGGCCCGTCCAAACCAAAGCGCACGCTTCTGACTCAGAAAGCGCGCCCGGAAACAGCAAAAACGACGCGGAATGCGTCACATCCGCAGCCGCACGACCTACAGGCGCAAAAAGAAGCGTTGGTTTGGATCGCGCTTAACTCGAGTCGGTGTCCTAAAAACGCCTACTAAACAAAAAAAAAAAAAACAAAAACAAAAAAAACGCGGCTTTTTAGTTGTTTTTACGCAATCTCCGCTTCCTCCCCTGTGCCAGTCTGCCATACGGTCTCCGAGTAAAATGGAAGCAGACGATCCCGAGCACGATCGCTTTTATTTGACGCCGGTATTGAAGAAGACTTGACAAGGTAGTGAAAGAAAAAGCGAGTGACTATACACGTTAGCGGTGCTGTTCGAAGCGATCCAACGCGATCGAGCCCTTCGCAGGGCGGTGGTAAGGATGCTTCTGTTATAAAAACTGACAAAATCGTCGTCAGCACACGTAAAATACGGAGCTCAGCGAATCTCCGCCGCCGGTTGCGATTCTTTTATACGGCCATACGTTTGTTATGCCTTTCGTTACGAACTTCCTATAAAATGTATTCGTATACACACGGGAAGTTCGGCCGCTCTCGGCGATCAAGGTTTTGTCGGCCGAGGCGAGCGCCAGCCAACATATACTTCGATTTAGCTACGCAAACAAAAACATTAATCGGGATCATGCTCTGCGTGAGTGTCCAACCGGCTACCAAGGTCGCGTTCATACCCTACTTTGCTCAGCCCAGCGCGGAGAGGACTATCGTCGACATTCACCGAGTTTCCGTGCAACGGCGATCAAGACACGACGTCAAATGAACGCTTACGTAGTTTATTAGCATATTCAAATAAGGCAAAATGCGGTCCAATGCATTTTCCGAAAAGAGACTTACCTGGAAAAGAAATTCGAACGATTCGAAGGCGTTATTCGTCTTACCTTGAGCACTTTTCATTAACAAAAGCGAGCAAATCGCACTCCCGTGACAGAACCGATGCAGCTTATCCCGCCATTTTTTTTTTCTTTTTTAGCGCCGGAACTTCGTCAGTGATCCGCAATTACGTCATGCTGCGCTCTTTTCACTCCTCATGCACCGTCTCCGGAGGCGGTGCACGAGAGCCTGACTCCGATCACTCGGAGTAACGTGCACCGGAGGTCGGTTTTTGCCGTCTAGTGGAAGGAGCGCTGACTCCTTGACTCCTGGAGCTGCTACTGAACGCGCCCATTGGCAGCCGCTTCACGAGAGCGCGCTCGGCCGCTGCTCTCGTGTCAGGCGTTGCCCGAGGCGGGTGTAAGGGTGCGGCTGCTTCAGCTCCTCTCGGTGCCGAAAAACATGACGGCGTCTGAGGCATCTATATCGTCGGCGGCCGCAACCTCGGCAGTAGTGAAACATGGCCGTCCACGCCGTTACACCCCATACGCACTAAGGGAGCGAAAGACCGACATTCATGCTTTCACATTCGCAATTCATAAGAAGTGCTTATGGGTCCTCGGAATGTTTTTGGGTTGATTTTTTGGCATACATTTATCGCCTAATGTGTATATTTAGAATACATGCATTTCAAGTTTTAGTTTTCAGCTCTGTATAAAATATACGATTGCAAATGAAATAGAAATACCAAACGAATATTAAAGTAATAACATGTTTTCCAGTTTACTAAAGCTGGCTATCCTAAAGCAAACTTCCAACTTTTTTTTTTTTTACTAGCTGTTAATCTGCCCACCATGTGCTCCAAGATACCGTGCGCCCGAGAGCTATGGAGCTACCTTAGATCGAATCTTGACGGATTCTCGAACAGGATGGTTCTGCACTACTCTTTTCCCAAGGACATTATGAAATGCCTAGATTATATGGCATATACATTCGCGTGTTGAATAATTACCCGGTGCAATACCTTGCTAACAACATAAAATATTATCCAAAGTGTCTAAACTTTGGACCATTTTGTCCGGGTTTGCTGTCTGAATCTTTCTGTTCGGGGCCATTTTCTCTGGGATTCCTTCATCCGGGACGATTTTGTCCCGCATATCTTATTTTTCGAGCTTATATAATCGAGGAAAAATTGAGGATTTCTAGAAATCGCAACAAAATTTAGGGTACTTCGAATTACTTTTCTAATTCGAAACGTACAAGTATCAACATATAATCACCAGTTGCGAGCATTGATCGGTTCAAGATATCACACTTGTCTTTTAATTTACGCAAGCGGATGCAAATAAGTTAACTGGCAGGACTTTTTTTCTTGTAGCAGTTGTCATCTTAATGCTGCGACATTTGCACTAACGTGCAATTGTGTTGACTGCCGGCTCGGCTCCTGTCGTCCCAATCTCAAGTCCATTTTCGTTTAACAGGTACATATATACGTTTCACATTTAGCACTACAGTAGCCGACGTGACGACCATGTGGAGCTAATTAAAAAGCGCCAAAAGTGCATCGTCATGGCATTTGTCATTTTGTTTGCGGTGGTTTTGACCGGGTAAACCAATCACACGGAAGAGGAAAACACAAAATGAGAACGCATTAATCGCGCGTAATTGGCTTAGTTCGTGATATGAATTGTACAGCGACGACGATCACAATGATGATACATGTTTCCGCTGCTACATTGGCTCGAGTGGATTGTAGCGCTGACGGTAGTCAGACTTGATGTGAAAGGAATGTAGTGATTTCCGCTTACGTCTCATCTCTTGCACCGATTTCCAAACGGAAAATCTAAATTTACCGCAACCTCTAAACGAGGGTGCACAGTTGACTGACTGCTTAATTCGTCAATGATTGGAAGGCTCAGCTATTATAGATTTACATGTTCTAATTAACGAGCCATCGAGCCATCGAGCCATCGAGCCATCGAGCCATCAAGCCTTTGAGTCGTCGCCAACAACGCAAACGTTCAATGAAATTGAGCGTTTGCGTGGGAGGGTGTCGACGACCAGCGATAGAAAGCAGACAACACGTAGACAAAATTTGTCGGCATCAAGAGTGTCGTTGGCGCCGTCGTTATGCAGCCGCATTTTCTTTAACTTTGTTACTTCAA